CGTAGTAGTAGTAGAAGTAGTAGTCGTAGTCGTAGTCGTAGTCGTAGTCGTAGTCGTAGTAGTAGTAGTAGTAGTAGTAGTAGTAGTAGTGGTAGTGGTAGTGGTAGTGGTAGTGGTAGTGGTAGTGGTAGTGGTAGTGGTAGTGGTAGTGGTAGTAGTCGTAGTCGTAGTAGTAGGAGCGGCAGCAGCAGTAGTAGTAGTAGTAGTAGTAGTAGCAGTAGTAGTAGTAGTAGTAGTCGTAGTCGTAGTCGTAGTCGTAGTCGTAGTCGTAGTCGTAGTCATAGTAGTAGTAGTAGTAGTAGTAGTAGTAGTAGTGGTAGTAGTAGTAGTAGTAGTAGTAGTAGTGGTGGTGGTGGTGGTGGCGATAGTAGTGGTAGTAGTAGTAGTAGTAGTAGTAGTAGTAGTAGTAGTAGTAGTAGCAGTAGTCGTCGTTGTCGTCGTCGTGAAAATAATTGTCGTCGTAGCCGTAGTAATAGTAGTAGTAGCAGTAGTCGAGGTAGCCGTAGTAGTAGTAGCAGTACTAGTAGTAATATTAGTAGTAGTCGTAGTCGTAGCAGTAGTAGTAGTAGTAGTAGTAGTAATTGTAGTAGTAGTAGTAGTAGTAGTAATAGTAGTAGTAGTAGTAGTGGTGGTGGTAGCAAAAGTAGAAGAAGTAGTAGTACTAGCAGCTACCGTCATAATCGTAGTGCATGTAATCGAAGAGCCAGTGGTAGTGGTAATGACTTGGTCGTAGTATGATATATCTGGAGTCTTCTAGAGTAGTGATCCTAGATTTTCCCTCTGCGGCCACTTGGGGTCGCCACCATCGATTCGCCTACTATGCTTCGCCGTTGTGCAATTGTTGGGTGGTTATGTCTTCTGGCGGATGCTGCTCACTGGTCTAGCCTGCACGACAGAGGAATTGTGAGCTGAACTGTGAAAGGGTGGCAGGATGATTCGCTACCTCTCCAATCGAGTCGGCGCGTTGTCTTCGTCGTCGTCGCGATCGTCGTATTCACATGGGGGTCGCGCAGTCAATCGTATGCAGTAAGCGCTCGCCGCAGATGTGGTGGTCTTGATCGGAATCTCCGCCAGCGGAATTATTTTCTGACTGCTTTTCGCCTGCGGGTTGTTGTTGGGCGGCTATTTCTCTGGGCGTTCTGGTTTATTCTGCACGGCAGAGGGATGTTGAGCTTGTTTGCACTAAGATTGCCAGATAAGTATATCGAGTCGGCGCGTCGTCTTCGTCGCCGTCGTCGTCGTCGCCGTCGTCGTCGCACTTGTCGTCGGCTTCAAATGGAGGTCGCGCGCAGAATCGTGCGCAGTAAATGCTCGCCATAGTTGTGGTCAGCTTGTTCGGCGTGGTCAATCGCAAGGGAAACCCTGGAATCCTTCGGATTCCCTCAGGATTCCTAGCGATTCGAAGATTCTTAGAAATCCCTGGAGACGGCGAAGGCCTCAGCAGTGGCCGCCGCGGGAGGGGGATGATTCTCCCAGTAGTTCTTCCGGTCCCAATCCGGCAATAAGCCCGCAAACAAATAATCCGCTTCCGTGTCACAAACGGGGCGATTGAGGACCTTGAGAGGTCAAAGCACCAGCAAGAAGGAAGGTCAAACCCCGACGGGGTGGAGCGGCGACACGACAGGGCCCAGGCACAGTTCTGCACACATTCATCCCCAAGGAGGGCCGGAGCCTGGGGCGCCGAAGCCAGTACCCTGACACTCCCTAGGCTTGCCATCGCTCGGACGTGTGCGTTTTTCTTTCGGCGAGGGCCATCGAGGAGCATCCTTGATCATTTGGCGACACGACCACGCACGAGACCGAAAAAAACACAGGGAACGGACGTCCGAGCGATGGCCAGTAGGAGGCCCAGGGGATTCGGAGGGGTTCTGAGAGAAGCCGGGGGTGCTCCAGGGCCGTCCTGGCGGTCTCGGAGCCGTCGGCGGGGATCTTGAAAGGGCCCCGCGCCACGAGGTCTCAAAGCGGCCCCAGGAGCCTGGTACAGTTCCAGGGTGTCCTCGGATGTTCCTGAAATATCCCTTGAGAGCCCGCCCCAAGAGAACTCCAGGAGGGCCGACACTGCACGGGGAGGGTGGTGCAGGGCCGGAGCTTGCGCCCGCCCAGAAAGTTTCTGCGTTTGGTTTCGACACGACTGCGCAAGCTGTTCGATCGGCCTACGATCCAACGACAGCTCTTGGACGGCCGTAGTGAGAAGTCGCGCTTATTGTGCGAGGGCATGGGTCTCTCGTAAAGAAGATACGGGTCGAGGCCTAGGGCGGGAGGAGTGGTTTGCCAGCCACCCTCCGTGAGCTTGCCAGCTGAGGGTGTGCTGTCGTGTGGTTCTTTGTGATGGTCACTGTGCTCGCCTGTAGCTCGTAGCTATGTCTCCCCCTCCTTGTGATGTTTCTCATGCCCTCTGTCTGTTGCCTGCTCACTTCACCCTGCGGTCCTCCGATACGTCCAGGCACTAATCTGGGCGCGCGCAAGCGACAGCTCCGACGTGGCGTGCCCAGATCGTGCCCTGCTTACGAGCACGATCCTCCGTCAGGCTCAGGCACCCCTCCCGCGATGGATGGGGGCACCGCTGCGCGTCCGGAAACAGCGGCGCGCTGTAGCCTTCGGGGACGCTCCACAATTTGCCCGCCGAAGCTTGTCGGCAGTTTCAGGTGTCGCCCAGTCGTTTGCACGATTTCTGCGTCAACGTGAGGCTGGAACTTCGCCTGCCGTGATGCGAGGTACGTGACAGCATGCTTTTTCGAGGTGCATGTTGCATGTCTGTAAACGTATGGGTATGTGTCAGTGTGGACGTGTGTATATATTACACCAGAGAAAACCCCAATCAGTGGATGTTTTTCCCTGACGAGATTGACCAGGAACCCAGGAGCCCTGGAACCCAGAACACACCGAAATCGGCTCGGAACCAATAATTGGGAACCCGGGAACCCGGAACCGGGAACCCAGGAACCCAGCTTGCTACCAAAATCGGCGGAAATTTTCGCCAAAGTTTTCAATTCCCGCTAGGACCCCTTCAGTGCAAGCACTGATTGGGGAATGTATAGATTCACTTGTAAGGATTCGACAAGCGTCCGGGCGGATCGGCAGGCGGAGAGGTTACCCGGTTCCTGGGTGCCCCTCCGAGTCCACTCGCCCTCCGCGTGGCCAGCTCTGCCAGCCTTCTTCCCTATTTCTTCCTTTCTCAGGAAGGGTCCACTTCGGTTCGGTTCGAATAGGTTCCGAAGTGGGTCCAATTCGGTTCGGTTCGGTTCAGCGTCAGAAGTTTCCGGTTCGGTTCGGTTCGGTTCGTCGTTGTCAAGGGTGCCGTCCGGCTCGGCCCGGTTCGCCATGCGTTTCGCTCCGGTTCCGCCCGATTCGTTGCGGAGGAGGCGGGGGGGGGCGCTGGGAGGGGGTGCCGCGGGGGGGCGCCGGGGGGGGTTTTATTCCCCCTTTCTCATCCGACCTCTCCTCGCATCCTGTGGTTCCCCACCTGGTGCAAACCCTGAAGAAAAAAGCTCTTCCAGTCTCCACCTCTCCCAGTTGTCCCTCCCCGTCCCCGCTCTCCTTTCCAGGGGGGCGACGAATCGGAGGCCTTGAGCTGCTCAACTTCTTCTCCTGGTCGACAGAAGACGTGGTATGTCCAAGAGATGGTGCCCCGTTATCGTGTCGCAGGCTGGAACGACATCTTGACATGTTTTTCGAGTTGAAATCTTTGATGTCTCTATGTCGTCAGTCGCCGTGGTACCCCGGTCCGTTTTGAGGTTGTTGTCCCCGCGTTGTCTGGCCAGCCCAGCGGAATTGGAGCGACATGAGGTATTGCACACAGCTTGCTTACAATCCAAATGCAATTTCAAGAGCATGGCATGCACAACCACGTTGCAAAATCGTGGGCACACGAGCAATGAGTGCGAAGCGGAGGCAGAACTGAACAAACGAGATGCTCCCGAACACGTACGAGGGGCGGTATTGTTATACAGGCACTCAGAGGGCGAATTACATTAGAATAGATGGCGGTCCAGAGGTCCGAAGTATTACTGTAGGGTTTTTTGGGGCAAGGAATTTGACCATGACGCCTCAGCCTTTGGAGAATTCCTTATCTAATGAGGGCAGCGGTGATATCCATGGCCAATCCATTGTTGGAGTTCCACGGGCTTCCAGAATCTGGATTCCTTCTCCAATGATTATTTACCCAATGCCCTCACCGTAGCAGCAAGTTTGTCGAAGAGTACGTATGCTGCTCTTCAGATTTACCAGCATGCGGTCGGTTTCGCATGCGCGGTGTGATTTAGTGGTTCGATTGCAGTGCGCATGTATTCACGCATGAGTTGCCGTTGATTGGCACGACCATGATTGGCGTCTTTGTGCCGCAATTTTTCCGAGCAAGGAAACGCAATCGGACGAGCAATGCCGAAACATCACCATGGTGTGCAGGACGATGATCCCTGCATTCTCACCTGCTTCGTGTAATGGTGTCGACCCCTCCTCTCTCGATGCGGTCGCTCAGGGATGGTCGGATTCGGATGTACGGTGCGGGATCGGAAGAGCTGGGAGCCAGAAGTGCGCACAGCGAGCAAAAAAAAATAAAAAAGTGTGCATAGCGAGCTTGGACCGAAGATCGGCACCGCCGCTCCGCTGCCCGCGGGCGCCAAACATATCTATATCCACGGCCTCGCGGGCCGGGCTCCGCGAGGCCGCGACCCCGCGGATACGGAGCATCGTCTTAAGTCGGGCCTGTCATTCTACAGGGGGAAATTCAAAAATAGTCAAACAATACTTTGGGGACGACGTTTTGATAATTTTTTGACCATTTGGGGGTATTGTTTGACTATTTCTTATCTTTCGTCCGAAATCCCCCTGTAGGGGGACATGCCCAACCTGAGCCTCGTCTTCGCGGATGCCCCGCGCGGAAGGCATCCGTGCGAGCACACCTCCGCGGGACCGCGCTCTGGCATGCAGACCGCGAGGGCGCTGGTGATGCGTTCGCCGCTCGTGCACTGCTGGCGCCAGCCACGGCCGCCGCCGCCGCGAGCGAATCGGCCCAGAGGAAGCCCGTTCCAGCGGAGGCTCCCTCGCTCGACGCCGCCGCCAGCTGCCGGCAGCCATGGCGCCGAAGGCCGTCGTCAAGACGCAGGCCCGCGCGCAGTGGCGTTCGCAGCCCCTGCGATCTCGATGGTCTCGCGTCTCGACCTCGACGACGACGACGACGACGACGACGACCACGACGACGACGACGACGACGACGACGACGACGACGACGACGACGACGACGACGGCGACGGCGACGGCGACGGCGACGGCGACGGCGACGGCGACGACGACGACGACGACATCTCAGTTGCTCACAGACAGCCCCCCAAGTAGTCATGGCTGGCCTCAGCAGGCCCCCCGAGAAGTCACAGCTGACTGCAATGGGCCCGCCGAATAGCTCGGGGTGGTCTCAACACTCCGGCACCACCTGGCGGCGCCCCTGGGACGCTCCGCGCCCCAGGGTTGGGCTGTGGAGACCGCCCCAGACTATCCTGGGGGACCTGCAGAGGCCAGCTGGGGCTACCCGGGAGGGCCTGCTGAGGCCAGCCAGGGCTACATGGAGGGACTGTCTGCGCGCACCGAAGCCTTCCCAGATGTCGGAGTTTTTGACATTTTCGAGGGGCCTCCCGGAGGGTCGTCGTAGCCGCGGCCAGACACAGGCTCCAGTGGCAAGGGGGATGGGGATCTTGGTAGAGGTCTGGGGATTCAGCGTGAGCGCACAATTGGTGGAGGTTCGCGAGGATCTAAGTTTGGGAGCGTCTCTGTACCTTTCTGGGGCCTCTTGGGGCGCCCTCGTGGACGCTGCGGGATTCCCCTCGGGACTCTGGCCAGAACGCACGCGTGGAGGTGCCCATCTGAGGACAAGCTCTTCGGAGGTTCTCGGCAATCTGCGGAGCTTCTCGGCGGTCCCTGGAGGCTGTAAATGGTCACCGGATGAGCTCGGTAGTTCATAATGCGTGTGTTTTTTCTTCATTGCTGTTTTGTTCCCAACCAACCTGTGTTGTTAGGTCCTAGTTTTGAAGAGACGGTCCCCGCGTCTCCTCCTCATCCTCCTCCTCCTCCCTCCTCTCCTCCTCTCACGCTTCGTGGCCACATAGGGAGGTCCACCTGAGGCCCCAGAGGTGTCTACCACATGCGCCTCCCCCACCCAGTACAGCGCTTCGTGGCCCCATAGGGAGGTCCACCTAAGGTGTACCACATGCGTCCCCCCCACCCAGTACAGCGTTTCGTGGCCCCATAGGGAGGTCCACCTAAGGCCCCAGTGGTGTGTACCACATGCGTCTCCCCCACCCAGTACAGCGCTTCGTGGCCCCATAGGGAGGTCCACCTGAGGCCCCAGTGGTGTGTACCACATGCGCCCCCCCCCATACAGTACAGCGCCTCGTGGCCCCATAGGGGTTCCGCCGAAGGTCCCCGTGGCGCAGTCCGCATGCGTCTCCCCCACCCAATACAGCGTGTCGTGGCCCCATATGGAGCCCCACCGAAGATCCCCGTGGCGCAGTCCGCGTGCGTCTCCCCCACCCAGTACAGCGTGTCGTGGCCCCATATGGAGCCCCACCGAAGGTCCCCGCGGCGCAGTCCGCATGCGTCTCCCCCACCCACTACAGCGTTTCGTGGCCCCATAGGGGCTCCGCCGAAAGTCCCCGTGGCGCAGTCTGCATGCGTCTCCCCCACCCACTACAGCGCTTCGTGGCCCCATAGGGGCTCCGCCGAAGGTCCCCGTGGCGCAGTCCGCATGCGTCTCCCCCACCCAGTACAGCGCTTCGTGGCCCCATATGGAGCCCCACCGAAGGTCCCCGTGGCGCAGTCCGCATGCGTCCCCCCTACCCAGTACAGCGCTTCGTGGCCCAATAGGGGCTCCGCCGAAGGTCCCCGTGGCGCAGTCCGCATGCGTCTCCCTCACCCAGTACAGCGTGTCGTGGCCCCACATGGAGCCCCACCGAAGGTCCCCGTGGCGCAGTCCGCATGCGTCTCCCCAACCCACTACAGCGCTTCGTGGCCCCATATGGAGCCCCACCGAAGGTCCCCGTGGCGCTGTCCGCATGCGTCTCCCCCACCCAGTACAACGTTTCGTGGCCCCATAGGGGCTCTACCGAAGGTCCCCGTGGCGCAGTCCGCATGCGGGTTTCCCGCCCAGTACAGCGCGTCGTGGCCCCATAGGGAGCCCCACCGAAGGTCCCCGTGGCGCAGTCCGCATGCGTCTCCCCCACCCAGTACACCTCCGTCGGAGGCCGTCGGAGTTCCGCGCCTCGCTCGCCCGTCGTAGCTCTGCCCAGCGGCAAGAGCCTTGCCCGCTATCAGCCAGCCAGCTTGCTCTCTTTGCTCCGCGCAGCGGACGACCCGCGCGCGTCGCTGGGACCCCTCCGGGGCGACCTGCGCGCGTCGCGGGGGCTCCGCGCTGCGCTGCGCCCGCAGCCTTGGACTTTTGAGTGCGCGGGCAAAGAGGGAGCAAAAGAAGGGGAGGAAGCGGGCGCGATCCTTGCGGGGGGGCGCGCCGACATTGGCGTCGCGGCGCGCGGGCGATGCCGTCGGGGAGTCCCGGGGAAGCTCCTTGCGGCGGCCACGCCCAGCGTCACGAGTATTCAGAGGCAGTCATTCTCAAACTATTGACATTCATAAACAATTACACCATGCTGTGTCATACTCGCATTCATGCACGTAGGTTCGCTCGCACGCAGAATCATTCACAGTCAGACGCACTCGCGTTCGGATTTCCCCGCGCTCAGTCTCCCCACGTACTCAGATCAATCGTTTTCGTTCGCGTTGTGTGCCACGCCACTCATTTCGGCATAACCCTAGCACGGTTCGTTGCCTCAGAGGGATCACCACCGAAAAAAGTGAATCAAAATTTCGGTATTCACACCTGTATACGGTTGGGTCCTTCGTCCGGCGAACTAAGTTGTTCGGATGCCTTGGGGTGTGTCATGAGGTTTTCTCGGGAGGTTCCAGAGGCTTTGGAGGAAGGCGAAGCGATGCCACCGAAACCACCACCACCCACCAGCAGGGCCACCGTGGCGTGAAGGTGTACGATGCTTCTCCGAACAGGACATTGGAGATGTCTTGAGCGGGACGCCGGCAAACGGCGACACTACACCACCACGAGGACCCCCCTCTACAGCATTGACCGTGGTGGTGGTGGTTGTGTCGCATTCCTTGTTCATACCCGAAATTGGGGGTGTGATCCCGACACCTGGGCGTCGCAAGCCAAGACCCAACCACATGCAAATGTGAGTACAGCAAGGCAGGTGGGCCGATGGAGGGGGATGTCCCGATGGGGCCACGAGACGTGTGAGGGGTGCGCCGACATGGACGGAGAGCCGCAATTGGACGCACACGCCAGGTTCTGAGGTGAAGCCCCCCTTGGGGCCACGAAGCGCGTGAGTACCGTGCCGAAGTGGGCGGGGAGGCGCTCTATGCGGACTTTGCTGCTGGGGCACAAACGGCGTGAGGGGCGTGTCGGAATGGGTGCGGGGCCGCACGTGAGCGTTGCCACTGCGGCCTCTGGTGGAGCTCCCTACGAGGCCACGAGACGTGTGAGGGGCCGCATGTGGGGGGCTTCGGTGGGACTCTCTATGGGGACACGAGACGTGTGAAGCGTGGGCCGAAACTTGCGCAGAGACGCGTGTGATGAGCACTGCCACTGGGGCCCCTCGGAGGGCTTGCCTATATGGGGCCACGAAACGCGTGAGGGGCGCGCCGACATGGGCGCGGGTCCGCACGTGAGCACTGCCACTGGGGCCATCGGAGGGAATTCCTACGGAGCCACGCGACCCGTGAGAGTTGCGCCGACATGGGTGCGGGGCGGGCCGCAAGTGAGCACCGCCACTGGGGCCGTCGGTGAGCCCCCGATGGAGCCAAGAAGCGCGTGAGGGGCGCGCCGAAATGGATACGGAGCCGTATGTGAGCACTGCCATTGGGGCCGTTGGTGAAGCTCCCCATGGGGTCACGAGACGTGAGGGTGTGCCGAAATGGATATGCGGGGAGCAGGGAGGAGGGAAGAGGGGACTGGGGATGAGAGGAGACGCGGCCGCCATGGATACTACACGAGACACAGGACGGCTGGGAAAATTGGCAAAGCATCCCGACCGGCCGTCGCCCGTTCGGGGCCTCATAGGGGGATTTGGGGACGATCATGCTCGGTAGATTACCACCCCATCGACTTGGGATGCAGGAGGAGGAGTTGGAGGAAGGGGATAGGGGAGGAGGAGGGGCAAGGGGGATGAGGATGAGGAGGAGGAGGAGGAGGAGGAGAAAGAGGAGGAGGGCGACGACGACATTGCCCACGCCGTAGGAGGGCGACGACGACAGTAAATGAGCCTCGCGAAGGACCCAACCATATGCAGTGGTTAGTACCGCATTTGTGGGTATCGTCTTAGGTGAAGCTCCCCATGGGCCACGGAACGCTGTACTGAGCGGGGGGAGACGCATGCGAACATTGCCATTGGGGCGCGTGAGAACTTTGCCACTGGGGCCTTCCATGGAGCTCCCCATGGGGCCACAAAATGTGTGCTGGGTGGGGGGACGCACGTGGACACCGCCACTGGGGACTTAGGTGGAGCTCCCCATGGGGCCACAAAACGTTGTGCTTCGTGGGGGAGACGCACGTGGACACCGCCACTGGGGCCTTCGGTGTAGCTCCCCATGGGGCCACGAAGCGCTGTGCTGTGTGGGGGACACGCATGTGGACACCGCCACTGGGGCCTTAGGTGGAGCTCACCATGGGGCCACGAAGCGCTGTGCTGCGTGGGGGAGACGCATGTGGACACCGCCACTGGGGCCTTCGGTGTAGCTCCCCATGGGGCCACGAAGCGCTGTGCTGTGAAGGGGACACGCACGTGGACACCGCCACTGGGGCCTTCGGTGTAGCTCCCCATGGGGCCACGAGCGCTGTGCTGCGTGGGGGAGACGCATGTGAACACCGCCACTGGGGCCTTCGGTGTAGCTACCCATGGGGCCACGAAGCGCTGTGCTGTGTGGGGGAGACGCATGTGGACACCGCCACTGGGGCCTTCAGTGGAGCTCCCCATGGGGAAATGCTGTGCTGTGTGGGGGCGACGCATGTGGACACCGCCTCTGTGACCATCGGTGGAGCTCCCTACGGGG